AGCTAATCTAATCTAGATAAGGCTGCTGTTGCCGAACTGGGTAGGATGAGTATCACTGAATCCTTGCTGCTGCTGGCGGTGGGCCCGGGGCCTGTTGCTGCCGGCGGCGATGGTACGTCTTCCCGAGGAGGGCGTCCATAACACACTCTTTCCATCCTCCAATTCTTATCTTCAAATAATCTTCTATTTTGTTCCTTCCCAATTCTCCAGCAGACTGCAAAGGGAATAATGGTAGCCCAGTGCACGAGGCTCTTGCCAATGCGGGGATCTGGGGAGGGACAGATGAACACAGCCTTACTCCTGCACATACAGAGAGGTTGTTTCAAGATTTGAACCCTGGTCGTCCAGCTGTTGCGCCAAGGCCCACCCTCAAAATCATTTTGGCTTTCTTGCTTACTTGCAGCATCAGCCAACTAGAGAATACCTCTTGGTTGGAAACACTTTAATCCAAAAAGAGAAGAAAAGAAATACCAAATAAAATCAGCCAACCTTACACAAAATGAAATGACTCGCGTTCTCATCACCAAAGCACATATAGCACAAGTATGCTGAAACCTCTACTATTCAAGTGATCAGCAGTCAAAATGCTATCTACTGACACTAAGCAAATGATTCCACCCTCGGAGGAAAAGGTTACCTCAAATGCTATTCCACTCATTATCATATATGCCCATAAAAAATATTGATTACAAAGACTAATATGTATGCCCTTAATAAGGCGGCTACTGTTTGGATGCTTTCAAACCTGATAGAAGAATCTGGACTCTAACCTCGAATGGTTCCTTCACTTGTGCTTCTTTTTTCAAATCCCTTTGCTCTTCTTCCTCATCTGGGGTTTTCCATGTCAAAGAGTTTTGGTCAAGGCCCTAAACTCCTAAAATTGCTATCTTCTGTTGGGAAACTTATTATGGTAAGATCAATACCTTGGATAACCTACAAAAGAAGAGACCTTATTTGTGTTTATCCCCAAACTAGTGTATTTTGTGTAAAGAGTGAGGACTGTCACCACTTGCTGATATCTTGTGCTTTTCCTGCTAATATTTGGAATTGGGTTTTCATGATGTTTGGGTGCAGGTGGAACTTGCCCTCCGAAGTAAGTCTGCTTTTTGATCCGACTACCTTCCGGTGGTCAACAAAGAGAGGGAAACTAATGTGGAAGTACGTAAGGGCAGCTATTTTGTGGATCATTTGAGAGGAGAGGAATGCCAGAATTTTCCAAGAAAAGGAAAGAAGTTTAGCCGAAGTAAAGGAGTGCATCTTGACAAGAACAATTTTTTGGTTGAAAACTTCACATCTTTTTATGAATTATTCCTTTGATGATCTTTGGAAAAGCTGGGCAGAGGTTGCCTCCACAACTTTTAAAAAGACTAGTGTAAAAGCTGAATGGAAACCTCCTCCGGAAGGAATGGTTAAACTGAACTTTGACGGGAGTAGTCAAGGTAATCCAGGGCCTTCAGGCATAGGAGGTGTTTGAGAGATAATGATAGTAACATCTTAAGGGCTGAGATATTGGCTGCAGTACAAGGAATACAGGCTGCAAACCAACTTGAAGTGGAGCACTTGATAGTTGAGGGGGACTTAAGGTGGTAGTAGGTTGGCTGTCAGATCCGGATACGGTTTTCTGGGGTTACAGGGATCTTCTCAAGAAAGTTAAGTGGCTGACAAGAAACATGACTGTAACTTTCAGTTGGTTAGCAGATCAGCAAATGCTATGGCTGATTTGTTGGCTAAACAAGGAGCTTCAAGGAGTGATTTGTTCTGGGCTACTTTATAAGTGTATTTCTATTAAGAGTATGTTTATATTCTCTTTCCTAAGGGGAGGTAACATCTCGTGCCTCCTCCTAGGGTGTTTGTACACCTGTTCTACCTTATTAAAAAATTATCTTTCATTTATAAAAAAAAGGCGGCTATTGTTCATAACATAAAAACAGCTCCAAAAAACAACATAAACTACTAGGCCTTGGGCCCAATAACACTAACTAATGATTATAAACAAGAAAATCATAAGAAACTGCTGAATCTCAATATAGATGACTGAGAAAATTCAGACTCCACCTATTTCTTCCACATGGGGGGAATCCTGTGGCTGATCCAAACCATTCATCAGATAGGGAATCCACTTGGATTGGCAACATGCTCAATTACAGTCAGTAACAATCATTTGCACCTCTTATTGGCAGTTTTTACTACTAATACTAGCCATTCAAAATTTTAATTCGTTAATATACAACCTTCCTACAAAAGAATTATTTTGCAGTTTGCACACAAACAAACTTTTTGAACAAAATTTTTCCATGAATTGGGAGTAAATAGAGAAATTCAGACTCCTTTCAATGGTAACCAGATGCTCTAATGGATCAATACTGTTCTCTGTTATCCTTTAGTTCTCTTCATTTTCATAGGTAAGTTCTACCATTTCCATGCAGTAAGCCAGTATAGCAACAGTACCCATAAACCTTACCACAGTTACAACTGGAGTTTACAGACTATATATAAGAAATTCAAGTACTGAAAAATAAATTTCAAACAGAAAGCAATTGGCATTGTATATGTATGCTAAGAAGAAATGATATAAACTCCAATATTCAATACGTAAGATGGTTTCAGGTTGAACCAACCTGCATATATCACGCAGCATTTTTAGTCTCCTGCGCCAAGTGAGTTTCTTTTTCTGTCCACTTGCATGGATCAAATAATACAAGGATCCCAACTCCATGTATTCAGTTACCATTGACAGGTGAGGAGGTTTGGTGCATGCACCAAGGAACAATATAACTGCAAGACGAAAATGATAGATCACCTTATGAACAAAGGAGGAAAACTCCAGTAGAAAACATCACTGGCACAATTATCTTTCATGTTGACTTGCTGACCAATTATACAGAACAATAAAAGAAAAATAGATCAAATAAGCCAATGCATTAAAGAATCATATGCACAAACTATAGGAAAAATATATCAAATATGGCAAGGCAAAAGTTGAATAGTAATAGGGAGAGTGGAGTACCATTTGGGTGCCGAAGCCGGCTGAAAAGAAAAATAGAAGCTCAAAGTCAGAGAAGAAAAGTTAGGTGATTAAACTGGCACTCATTAAATCAATCAAATTATACCTCAGAATAGATATTTCATTGCAAAAGTCTTCCATATTTTCAGTGGTTAAATCTTGCTCTAGGAAAACCTTGATTGCAACATCAGTCCCATTCCATATTCCACGAAAAACTTCTCCAAAGAACCCTAGAAATCAAACACAAATTATTAAACAAACGCAAAAATTAAGGTGATAGTTTTTCAATGATAGCTCTTGACAGTATAAAGTCGACTAGAAATTAGAGAGAGAAGAGAAGAAGAGAGATTGGCGACAATGGAATAGTTCTGGCGGTGCCAGATTATATTAATATTTATAGGGCAACTAAAAGAAAGGGAAAAAGACCCTTGTGCCCCTGCTGTAAATAAAGTACAATAACAGCAAATAAAAAAGACTTTAAACCGACCAAACGGACCCTAACAAGACAGAAAATAATAAACAAGAAATAAAATAAACTATTCCAACACTCCCCCTCAAGTTGGAGCATAGATGTCAATCATGCCCAACTTGTCACACAAATCATTATACCGCACATGATGAAGGCCCTTGGTGAAGATGTCCGCAAGTTGTTATTCTGAGCTGACATATGGAGTGCACACTTCTCCACTCGCAAGTTTTTTCTAATAAAGTGCTTGTCCACTTCAATGTGTTTCGTCCTATCATGGATGACTGGATTAGCAGCAATGTTGATAGCAACTTTATTGTCGCAATAGAGTGACATAGGGTTGTTAATTGCAAAACCTAGTTCACCTAACAGGTTTCTTATCCACATGATTAAGCAACTCCATGAGACATAGCTCTGTATTCTGCTTCAGCACTAGATCTAGCCACCACACTTTGCTTCTTCTCCAGGTGACCAAGTTTCCTCCTACAAAGGTACAATACCCACTGGTAGACTTTCGTCATCAACTGTCCTTGCCCAATCAGCATCAATATATACTTCCATCTTTAAATGTCCATGTTTCTGGAACAACAAACTAGCTCTTGGAAACTTCTTGAGGTATCTAAGGATTCTCTCTGCAGCTTCAAAGTGCATGAATTGACTAAGGACACCCACTACATAAGCAATATCAGGCCTGGTCATAGACAAATATAAGTCTCCCTACAAGTCTCTGAAACTTCTTCACATCTTTCAAGAACTCCCCCTGATTGTCTCCCAATTAATGGTTAGGTTCAATTGGTGAGTCAATTGGCTTCACCCCTAGCTTGCTTGTATCTTCTAGTAAATCTAGTACATATTTCTGTTAGGAAATAAAGATGCCCTTTTGAGAACGGGCAACTTCAATTCCAAGGAAATAACGTAAGGGTCCTAGATCTTTCACCTCAAATTGAGTGGCTAAGAATTTCTTTAGTTTCTGTACTTCAGTCTTCTAGTCTCTTGTGATCACTATGTCATCCACATACACAATTAAAGCTGCAATTTTCCCTTCACCTTTCTTCACAAACAGAGTGTGGTCTGACTGGCATTGTTTAAACCCCATTTGGTGAACTGTTAAGTGGAACTTACTAAACCAGGCCCAAGGTGATTGTTTCAACCCATATAAATATTTTTTTAACCTGCACACCTTCTGCTCACTGCCTTTGACACAAAAACCTAGAGCTTGAGTCATGTACACTTCCTCCTCTAAGTCACCATTCAAGAAAGCATTTTTAATGTCCAACTCGTGAAGTTCTTCCCAGCATGGTTTCAAATGTCGCCAAATGTCGCTAATGTCGCCCGACATATGTCGATGTCGAGGCTCACCAACATGAAAATGGATGGTAACATCGACCAAATTGGTCCAAATAACCAAAAAAAATACAGTTTTTCCTATTATGTCGACAAGATGTCGACTAATGTCGGCAGGATATCGACTAATATACACTAAAAATATAATATACTAGTATATTATATTAATATAATATAGTATATTAATATAGACTATTCCATTAATATTTCTATTTAATATTTCAAATAAAATATTTATAAAAAGAATTAACAAAATATAAAAACAAAAGAATAAATTAATTACTTTATAATATAAAACATAAAATATTTTTCAAGTAATAAAATATTAACTAGTTAGTATTTTTTAAAATATTTATTAAAATCAGAAAATGTTTATTAAATTTTATAATAAACCATATTCTACATTTAATATAAAAAATCAGAATAAATTTATTAAATTTTATAATAAACCATATTCTACATTTAATATAAAAAATCAGAATAAATTTAATAAGTTTTACTAAATCATAATTTATTATAAAATTTAGTATTATAATTTTATACTAAATCATAATATTTATTATAAATTTAGAATTTATAATAAATCAGAACTAAAAATAAGAAAAGAAAATATCAGATAACCTTGTAAAAACATCAAAATGCATAATAAATCAATAAATCATCATTTACTAATTTGTTATTGATCTTAGTTTCTTAGCTTTATATAATGGTTGG